CAACCTGGCCGTTCAGACTAAACACATGGCAAAAGCTCAGACACCTATTGGATTTAGGACCACTTACCTTTGATGTCAACCAACAGGCCCGTGCACAAGCGCACTAGTTAAAGGCGTGAAATCCAGCGATGCGTAGTGTTCTAACAATACACTAGTTATTACAGCAATAAATATTGACAACAAATGATCCTTCAAGCATCAAGCCCTCCTTGTATCTCGACCTCCGTCTTGACAATCCAACAGCCTCGCTATCCGACATAAAAGAAGGTTTTACATTTAGTGTCGGATTATCGAGTCACGACTGTATAAACATTGGTAAGTCGACACACTGCAGTGCATAAAGCACATGCTGTATTTTCTCTAATTACTTTATCTTAGCTGCAGATGACCTAACAGGCCTGTGTTTGAAGTAGGCTTGCATTAGAGGCAGACCTGTACGTCTAATGTCTTCTGTTTGTTCGGTCTAATTGGCCATATGTTGGTACAAAGCCTTGTTTTGATCTGCTGCTGTTTGCCCAATTAAAATTATTGATTTACGCCGTTTATACAAGCTCAACACTACCTGTGAACATTTCAGATTAAAAGCCTTCTAGCGTTTCACTGGACAGATACCTTCACGTTTCTTAACAGGACTTTTATTGTGAAGCATTTGCAGGTATACTAAGTGCAACAACAGCATTAATCAAGGCATAAATCAAGGTTACACAGTGTAAGCCTTGATTTATACTCCTGTGTTGAATCTACACACCTTTGTGAGCATTTATACTTATGCACATGACGGTGTTGTTTGTACACTGACCTGCAGAGCAAACAATAAAATAGCGTACAATGGCTACACTGGCAGAGTGCTGGTATCAGTGATCTAGTCTGTTAAGATCGTGTGCCGTCACCATCTGTTGGAAGATCGGTCTATTCTGCTTAAAATGTATTCAAGAACTTACGGCTTCAAAAAGAGAACATTTTCCAAAATGTTCTCGTTGTCTTCTTTAGTTTTAAAGAGCAAAAAAAAAACCTAAACTTTATTTATGAAGCATTTTCCTTAAACAGAGGTACAAATTATTATTATTATTATTATTATTGTTGTTGTTGTTGTTGTTGTTGTTGTATTAAGTATATGTTATATTGATTTTTTTTTAAAAAGTGAGCTTTTACAAGATTGAATTTCCCTTCTGGGATAAATAAAGTATTTTTTAATTTTTTTCTTTTCATTTCATTTCATTTTCAAAGTGCTTTATAGGGGAAAAAAATGTAAAAACAACAAAAACAATTCAGTACAACAGCATCAACATTAGGTCACTAAAAGTGCAGAGAATAAATAAGGCAACATCATTGTACAATATATTCATGTAATTTTATTTTTTTCAAAGAAAAAGAAAAAAGGAACTATTTTCTGTAAATATCATGGCTGTAGCAAACGGATAATTACATATCTGCCTCTGGCTAAACATCTGTTTTGAGTTTTTTGCACTGATTATACCAAGACATTACTCCATGCAGTCTGCCTTTAACTAAATATCCCTGCCAGCTTTTTATAAAATACTCTCCTTAGAGTCAGTACATTGCCTTTACTACAGAGGCAACACAACACTTGTATTCATGGGTATGGGACTTTTGCTTCCAGTCGGATACAAACCAGGTGTTGGACTTCTGAGGAGTGCAGTTAGTGAGCGATGCACTAATGCACACTTAGTGTTGGGGGGCTTTACAACCCGCTTCCACTTAATGCTAGTTTGTTTAGCATAGAACTTAATGTTGCGCATCCTCTACCTGACTGTAAAGGGGGCAGGGGTCAGGATGGAATTAGACCAATATATCAAACGCCAACTTCCTGACAAATGGCAGCCATGGCTCAGGTGAAGGAGTGGATTGTTTTAGGTTGACCCCTGGCCCCCTACGTGTCCTGAAGCGTCCCTGGGCAGGACACTGAACCCCAAGTTGATTCAAATCGCAGGCAGACGGTTTTCATCTGCCACCACTGGTAAGTAAATGGGTTGGATCAGCATCCTCTAGAACCAAGCTCAGATAAAAAGGAGCCATCGCTGCACGAAAAACCCGACTTTCGGCCCTGTGAGCGGCTGAAAACCTACCAAGTTCCCAGCAGCTATCAGCAGCCCACAGGCTACGAACTCCAAGTCTGCCTGTGCTGTAGATGATTGAATATGATGCCCATACAGATATTTGTCCTAAGAAATGTACCTTTCTACCTGCACATCACAGTTGACAGATATCGTTGACTGCACGGCTTACAGTTTTAAAATGGTTTTAAAGCAGAATTAATCCTGGAAATAGAACTTTGTAGCACACTTTCCTTTGGTTGTGAAGGTGCTCTAGACAAACACGCACACAGTTGTACCGATTTACATGATGGAGACTTGCTGGTCATCTCCATAATGCCCCCACAATGTGACGGTTTTAACAGATTCATGTCGAAATGAGCGTCTTCATCTGTGTGCGTAATCTTCTGTAGATGTTGAGGACCAGTAAACGGTCAGTTCTCTTCTTTACATCAGGGTTCATGATATACTTATGTATATACACTGAACTCTTCGTAACACATGAAAAGATCATAAATAACTCGGCCACAGTAACTATCCAGTAGCCCCAAGACATAGGATCAACAGGCAGTACAGTTCTGGTTACAAACTCGCCATCCACCTTCCTCCATTTTTTTATTTTGAGCTCATTTTCGAAAATGAACAATAAATAAGATTAAGATGAATCTGACTGGGTGAGCTGGTGTCCCATGTTTAGTGCCCTAATGCAGACGTCATGGGGTCGAGTCCCGCTCATGGCTGTTTCCTGCAGGTCCTTCCCTCACTTTCCTGTCTCTCTCTCTCTTAACTTTCCTATCAAATAAAGGCAATAAAGTCCAAAAAAAAAATTTAAAAAAAAATGAATCTGACTGATAGTGATGTTTATTTTTGTCAAATTTCATGTAGACATCATGATACATCATACTGTATATACCTGGCCTCTTTTGTAAATGTTTGGAATTCTTAATATAGTCTTGTTTTATATGTACATTTGATTTTATTATTTATGTTTTGTCTATTTAACTCGTTCAAGGCACCGTCCAGAGGCAGCTATTGATATTTTCGTCATGCCCCCATGTATGAAGACAATAAAGCTTTTCTCTTCTATTCTATGAAAATATTTCTAACTTCAATTCTTTTCACCAGGATATTTGTGCAATTAAACATGACAACAGCATTAAACCAAACTTGTCATTTGTACTTTAAAAGATGATTTATCTTTGTTATTACTTCAAGGGGCTTTTAAATCTTTTATTTTTTGGGGGTTTGTCATTGAACATTTTACACATGCTTTTGAAGCCGACCATATGATTTCACAGGTCGTGATCCTTGGCTATTTCCAGCGCTCCACTTCCACCGTGCCTGTCTGGCCGCAACATTTTTTCCAAGTCAATCACCACACCCTCTGGGCCCCTTGCAGCGCACCATTGACTATGCTTGGCGCCAATTGATTCACAAAAATAAGGCCACCAAATCTTTGAAAGTGCTAAATTCCTCTTGGCTGCTACTCTATTGCATAATAAATGCTTTAGAGTACAAAGAACCCAAAACCTCGGAAAGGCAAAACCACATCTTAAACTGTCTAATTCAAGACGTGCCCCCTCACATTTGGAAAAACACTTTTTCGTTAAATGAAGCTGTTCACCTTCAACCTGCAAATGTGACTGCAGAACAAGTTGCTGGTTAAATGGAATTAACCTCGAAAGTTAAAAAACGGACGGGGATCGTAGTGAAGAGCTTCAGTTTGGTCTTCATATGGCCACTTTGTATTGAAACAATGGTGTCGATTGTGTTTCTGGTGCTCAGAACAAATAATGTTTTATACCAGATGAGCAGAACTAAAGATTAAATGTTAGTTGGCCTTAAGCAAGCTTCAGTTCGCAGACTACCGGCCAACCAGTAGAAAGACTCCTTTGTGAGCTGGAGGTGGTGACGTCAAAGGGGCTCCTATAAAGGCATAAATTCATAGTTAATCTGGAACAACGCAGCAGTGGGAGGATGAGCCTCGGTGTCCTCCTCCATTTCTTAACTTGCATAACTAATGAGCCTTAAGGTTTGGATAAATTGAACAGGACGAGACGCCGCTCTCAGATTTGCACAAGCTAGCTTGCTGTCCACAGTGTAGGCTAACAAGATAAAGGGATTATATACTGCATGTGTATTATTTTGTATCAGCTACTTCCCAAATAGCTCACTAACAAAATGCTGGAGATGCTTGAATACAGTCACTATCAGGTGAGATGGGGTCGCTTTTTTTTCTTCTTCGATGCGGTTCAAGAAAGGCTGAAGATGAATTAGTTGGTGATGAGATGAAAAGAAAAAAAGCCTTGTTTAATTATTCCTTAAATACTGTGTCATTTGTTCTGCTGGATCGTGTTGTTGGTTCAACGAGAACTGAAAAAAGCTGTTGGAGGCAAAGTCTTTTTTTTTTTTTTTACTTCTGCGTTGATAAGTTGATGAGATTCTGCATGAACTTCTCAAGGCCACAGATTTTGCGTTACATTTTAAAAGTCTGCAGTTTTCTTTTTGATTAGATGAGACTTGTAGTCGCTCGTAAAGAAAACTAGCTGATGGTGATGTGAAATAATCTCTGAACGTGTTTCCTCAACTTACAGCACAGTCATATAACAAGTAAAGCAAGCCTGATGTCATAGTAGAGAAGACGATGTGTTCTTGGTCTCTAAATCAGCATAATACGTTGATTGAATGATTCATTTAACGTTGACAGAGCAGCAGCACAGCTGATTTATTTGCAACCCGACCTGAAATTTCAGTAGAAGCATGAAACACAACACTGACTGTAAAATGTCTTTAGATTTGCAGGTTTTGCTTCTTTGCATCATCACCTTAGGACAGAATAAATGTGTGCATGTGTGCCTCTGGATATGCTGATTATAAACGTTACCGTGGTTGAGGGTTGAATTCCGAAAATCTTGGGTTGTAAAGTTTATGTCTCGTTCCCGTAAGGTGCCGTCTCACCTGGAGAATCCCACCAAGTACCACATCCAGCAGGCTCAGAGGCAGCAGGTGAGGCAGTATCTGTCCACCACCCTGGGGGGTAAATCTGCCAGCCAGCCCTCCGAGCACAGCATGCCACCCGGGCCTGGCAGCAGCGCGCCCAACAGCCCCATGGCCCTGCTCACCCTCAGCTCCAACTGCGAGAAAGAGGTACACCTGCTCATTGGCAGAAGATTTTTATTTTTTTTATTTTTATCTCATTTCATTCAGACGCCCTAATGTATAAAATCTGGTTTTGCGTCACACAGATGGATGATGTCATCGACGATATTATCAGCTTGGAGTCGAGTTACAGTGAAGACGTTCTGGGACTGATGGACACTGGACTTCAAATTAACAACCCGGTAATTTATCAGGATGCTCTGTTCTTGTAAAGAATATTCTATGTCATGTTGACACTTTAATGATTTTTATTTTAAATTCAACCACATGATGCAGCTGTTTTTATGTAAGTATGTATTGTGATGGCATGTTTTAACACCCTAGCTCCCTGTGTCTGGAAATTTACTGGATGTGTACAGCAGCCAAGGACTTCCATTACCAGGACTTGCTATCAGCAACTCCTGCCCCCCCAACATTAAAAGGGAATTCACAGGTAAAAAAAAATAAAAAATAAGAGCCCAGTTTATTAGCATGTACTTATCTTTTAGTCTTGATGTTGCTGTTATTAGGTGTAGGAGTTTTGTAACTTAGTAGAATCCCTTCATCTAACAGTCAAATCTGATTTAAAAATACTCTGTGATGAATGTTTGCATGCAATGCTGATGAAAATGTTTGCACACTTAAGGATATGTTTAGTGTGACTGAATCCCAGCCAAAGAGAAAAGTAGAGACCATCAGAATATAGAGCATTTCTGTTGGCCAATGTGAATATTGTGTGCAATTTGGAAGTGCACAAGATACCATTAAGTCAATCATTTGCCAAATAATTACTCCAGCTCCTGGCATGAAGCAAGTACTGGACAAGCCTGGATCCTGTGGCCAATATGAAAGCTATCAAAGGCCAGAGGGCTTTCCAGTAGGTAAGCAAAGCAAAATGAAAAAGGTGAAGTAGATGTTTTTTTAAAGACTGTCTTCAATCTGATTTTTAGAATGTATGTGAAGTATTTTGTGTATGACGAAATGGCACACAATATAAATCAACTATGACAACTGCAATTTTTCGCCTTGTTTTCTGTCTGAAACCCTCAGATCATGTCGCTGATTTCTTACTGATGCTAGTAAACAAAGTAACACATTCACACGTGGAAGACAAACGTGTAATTTCATTATTTTTTTTAGACTCAGAGCCTAATTGCCATTTAATCATGTTGTGATGTTTTTTCAAAGGAACGACATTAAATTTTCTGTTTTGCTTCACAGAGGCGGAAGTTCGTGCTCTCGCTAAAGAGAGACAGAAGAAGGACAACCACAACTTAAGTGAGTCAGTCGCAGCTCTTTGATTGTGTTGTGTGCTTCGTTATTTTTCTTTAGATTGGAATAATTGAATTGTATGTATGTTAAATTACACTTTGTGTTTGTTCGCCTTATGGACTGTGAGACTTATTAAGCAGGCCTCTGTACTTACTGTGGATTTTATTTGACAAACTTTAGTTGAACGAAGGCGGAGATTCAACATCAATGATCGCATTAAAGAGCTGGGAACCCTAATACCCAAGTCTAATGATCCGTAAGTATTTTTGCTTGCTCGCGCCCAGCCATCCATTAGTCTGCCTGTTTAGCTTTGTTTTAACATCTTCCTCTTCTAATGTCAAAGTGTCATTAAAGTGCAACAACTTTTTGCTCAGAGGGGCCGTAAAGAATCCTTTGCTGTTCTGGTCAGCTGGTCAGCTGACTCTGACTGTAGACCTCTGTCTCCTGTATACCCCAGAGACATGCGCTGGAATAAGGGCACCATTCTGAAAGCCTCAGTGGACTATATCAGGAAGCTACAGCGGGAGCAGCAGAGAGCCAAAGAGCTCGAGTGCAGGCAGAGGAAGCTGGAGCACGCAAACCGCCATCTGATGCTTCGTATACAGGTAGGCCAGGCTGAAGTTATTGCAGAAGTTTTGTTGAAGCAACGGGAGAAAGTAAAGCAAACCAACAAATGGTCATGGTACTCTATTCATTCAGTCTCAGAGAGGCGCAGTAGTTCACCAAAACAAACCTGATAAATGATTCTTGTAGGATGTTTTGCATCTACTAGAGGACAAATTGTACATAATTCCCTAAAAAAAAAAAAAATCCTTTGTCAGGTTTATATTCATGAAATACAAACACAAACCTGACAAGTGATTGTTTTACTAGATGACAAATTTTGCTTGAGCACAGGTAAATATTAGTATGTAGTGTCATATTATTAATACCACGTAAACAGGTTAATATTTTTCACTTTTTTAATCATAGAATAGTTTGCAATTTATTGTGCACTTTGTACTTATATTCATATTATAAAGTTTTCTTATTTCATTACTGTTTGTATTTGTGGTCACTTCACTCTGTCTGCTTGCTACTAACTAATATAGTTTATATTAGAATATGATTTAACTGACATGGATTATTTGGCAGAAATTGTAAATTAGCCAGTTTGTCTAAGTTTAGCATGAGGAGTGAAAAGAAGGGAAACCAACTCTGTCCCAAAAAAACAAATTCCATCTGCTAGCACTTGTCCACAAAATCAGTGTTTTGCATGTACACACATTTTCTCTTTTCATTCAATATTCATGTTTTTACATTTACTGATTAAACAAATGTGATGTAACACAGTAACTACTGAGTTTTAAAGATGTTTCCAGGTGGATTTTCTTATAAGCCAGGATACCATGGTTCAGACACTGATGTGAATTTGAAAACGCTATTTTGTACTTTTAGCTGAGAAGTGGTATCCTTTTTCTCCTTTTTGGTAAAACTACATCCTATTCTGTGTTCTTCTAGGAGTTGGAGATCCAGGCCCGCGCTCACGGTCTGACAGTAATGTCCTCCTCTTCTGTCTGCACATCGGAACTGATGGCACGAGCCATAAAACAGGAGCCCGTCCTCGGCGACTGCCCCTCAGACCTCTATCAGCAAAGCTCGGCTCCTGACATGTCGCCTCCAACCACACTGGACCTCAACAACGGCACCATCACCTTCGACCAGATCCCTGCGGACACCGGGGACCCTGGCCCCTACGGAAACTCCCAACCCTGTAAAATGAAGGAGTTGGTCAGAAATAACAGCCTCGGGCCGATTTCCCCAAGCGATCCCCTGCTGTCCAAGATGTCCCCTTGTATCTCCAACAGCGTCGGCAGCCACCACAGTTCCAGCTCCAGTATGGAGGAGAAAGAACATGGCTGTTAGCAGAGCGCCATGAGCCACAGTGACACTTTTATCTGTAGCATCCCAGCAATGAGCCACTGAAGATTTCCACAAGGCCGAGTGCATTAAGGAACTCAGAAGCTATTTTAATCTTGGCTGCATTTTTTTTTTCTCACTTTTACCCTTTTGTCACTGAAAAAAATTGTGCGACTGTGACTCAGCACAAAGCGTTCATGCAGTCTAATGTAATCTTGAGACCATGCAAACATGTCATTTACACAGAGACTGAGAAATAATGACTCCGACCTGCCAAGTTTTTAGTCCTTTTATTTTTGTCATATTTTAGACTTTTAATACCTATTCCAGTTATACTGTGTATTGAGGTGTGCATGACGAAAGATATACTATATATATCTGCAGCAAAATGCAGAAGGAGGCAGAAAGAATGTGAGATTACTGACTCGATGAGTCTGACGGTTCCATTGTGACAAAATGCACAAAATATAAATTTGTATTTAAATATTATGCATATTGGTAGTTAGTTTCTAAACATTTTTAAATTCATATTGCATTTTTTACCCCAAGCTTGTAATGTATTCTGAATAAATAGCAAATTAAATGTCGGGCAAATTTAGAAGTATTATTATTGTTATTATTACATGAGTATTATATTGTTACTATAATTTATTTATTTTATTTTTTCTTCTGTTCTTGAGAACTTGTTTGGTTTTAGGTCCTCCGGTGATAAAAGAAATATATAGATCATACTCAGTCCACTGGTCCTTGTTTTTAGAACCTAAACAAGTCCTGATGTGATACATCTTCATCATCACACTTTGTTTATAATGAATGTAAAATAAAAATGAATTTAAAAACAAATGAATGTTGTTTATATGAAGGAAATGTGTCAGCTGCTATGTACAGAGGTGATTTTTTTTTTATCTGCAGAACTAGTTACTTAAATCTCTAATGGGTAAACTTTATGTCCTATTAGATGTAGACGTTTTATTCATCAACATGTTTTTAGTTTTTTGCAACACAGACGACTGAACAATGAGCCTTCATGGCTTCACATCACGTTGCAGAAGCATCACCAGCGTATCGTACTTACCAGATCAACCTCGTCTTCTTTCTGACTTTATATCCAAATCTGTGTACGGGCCGTTATGTAAGGAGACAGATAAATGTTACACAATACTTTACCAAATAGACGTGGGTATAGTTGTAAGAGAAAGGCTGGTAACTTTACAGCTTATATACATTTAGACTTGTTTCTCCCACCACAGCTGTCATGTTTCTGGGTGCTGCTGTGCACAGTTTGTGATGATTACAACAGACTGGTGGCATTTCATTCTGCAAAACCTCTCAATCTCCAGCCAAATACACAATTATTTACCTCAATCTAATTGCCTTGAAACTCTATAAAAAGGTAAGTTCTAGTCTTCTCTACACTACCTCATACTATTGTATTATTATTATTATTTTTGTTTGTTAATAATTTAATGATTTGAAATTATTGTGAGTAAATGTGAACCTTAAGAAATGGGCTAGCTTCCAGTGACATGGGAATAAAACTTTAATAAATCATTAATAAAATCACAGTGAAACAGCTGCACAAACTTTATCAGTTTAAAGTCAACACGTAAGTAACTGGCATTCAGACTGCTGCAGCTTTCTCCATTTTACCTCCCTAACAAGGAAGCTAACAGTCTGGATGATGGAGAGTTTTGCAAAGAGACACACGTGGCCTGTGATTAAAAGTATCTCCAGGAACAAACTGCGAAAGCTCCAACAATTGTGTGAAGAAGTCGTAACTGCAACAGACAATAACAGCAAAAAGCAATACTGGATTGTGCAATAAAATGTGCAAAAAACATTTTTCCTCCTACTTAAAATGTTCTCTTTATTGTAATGTGTTAGTAGTGTCAGGTGTCAGGCATTTTGATTCAGTCGGCACTGGTTTGACAGCTTGTTTATCAGTTAACTGGTGGATTTTTGCTCTCAGTCCGAAGGTTCGCTGACCAGTGTCACTGTAGTCTTTCATCACATTGTTCTCGACAGCAACAGAAGGTCATTTTCACCAAACATGTTCTGATAAACCTAAGCTCCTGACAGCACTAAAGGTTTACGAAAGCTTGTGCAGAAAGTCAAACATATCATAAGCTAAAGACCCTGATATTTTTATTAGGAGTTGAAAAGAAACAAATGGAGCTAAACAGCATGAAATTTGACATACAAATTTAAATGAATACTTCAGTCCCTGTTGGGTTTGGAAATAGCTTTGATGGCTCACTGACGAGGCCGACCGGGGAAAGGTCGAGGGCGCCTCGGGAGCAGAGTCCCAGTTTCAGTTGATTAGCAAAGTTTCTTCACTGAAAGTCAAACAAAGAGATACCAAATAACCACAAAGAGACAAACAACTAATGGGAAAGTCACGAGAAAATAAACAGCCACAGAGACACGAAGAGACATAAAACAACCGCCAAGAGAAGGGAAACAGCATCAGAGATACAAAGGGACAGAAAGAGGCTGCAACAAGTGGCTAAATCTGCTCAAAAAAGAATCAACAGCGGCCTGCCTTCCTTGGAGGACATGTAGGTCAACAGGTTCAGAAGCATGTATCATGAAGGACCTCACCCACCCTTTACCTGAACTCTTTACCCTCCTGCCCTCAGGCAGAAGCTGCACAGCCTCAAAGCCCTGACGACGAGGCTAAAGTGGAGCTGCTTCCCAGAGGCTTATGAACTCCTCAATTCTGTCCTCTGCACTCTGTTCTGCTGCCAGTGCATGCACTTATTGATGCACTGTTCATTTATTAACATGCTGCTTGTTTCAACTATGTATTTTATTTATTATAGGCTTTGGGGTTATTTAAATATTCATCAAAACCCTATCTCAGCTATTATACTACATATTGTTATTTATTCTGTATGCTGCTGGATCTGGGTAATGCGTTTCATTCATTTATGTTGTTAACAGGGCTGCAAGGTGGCTCGGTGGTTAACATTGTTGCCTCACAGCAAGAAGGTCGCCGGTTCGCGCCCCGGTGAGGACACCCAGGATCTTTCTGTGTGGAGTTTGCATGTTCTCCCCGTGCAGCGTGGGTTCTCTCCGGGTTCTCCGGCTTCCTCCCACACAGTCCTAAAACATGTTGAGGTTAATTGGTGATTCTAAATTGTCTGTAGGTGTGAATGTGAGTGTGCTTGGTTGTCTGTCTCTAAGTGTAGCCCTGTGATAGACTGATGACCTGTCCAGGGTGTCCCCTGCCTTCACCCTGAGTCAGCTGGGATAGACTCCAGCCCCCCACGACCCAAGTGAGGATTAAGCGGTGTATAGATAATGGATAGATGACTCCAGCCTACAGTAGGAGGGAGGAGAGCCTTTTACATGTCAGTGGCTCATTGTCTCATAATCAGCCCACAGTAGAAAGACAAATGTTTGCCGTCGCATTAGCTCTATAATCTTTAAAGCTGTGTGTATTTTTTTTCTTTTACTTCGATGTATATTTTTACATGTGCTTACAGATGGTTAATAGGTGTTCAGTGTTAACGAAGCAGTAGCACAGTAGCTCCAGAAAATGAAGTGAACAAGCCCTAAAGCAAAAACAATAAAATAAATATGACAATCATAATAATAAAAGGTGACAGTAAGTGAGGAAAAGTGTCAGATGGGCAGTGTTTTCATTGTTTTTTATTAAAAATATTAACTTTATCAAGCATATGTATTTTTTTTTTTACTTAGCTTAGTGTCAAATAAGCTTTCATTTGTGAGCAATGTTGTTAAAAACTAAAATGTGGAAATTCGTAAGCATGTTCAAACACACACACATTATGATAATAAAAATCTTTAATGAAGCATATTGGATATTTGACAGTCATAAACAGTGACAAGCAGGACAAGCAAGGTGTCGGTTACATAACTTGCGAGCTGGTGCTGCACTTATGTGATAATTAAAGTGTAACTGTTAAAAAAATAACCCAACATATTTTCATTTTCCAATATCGATTTTTACAACCCTTTGAAAACACTACAGGCAGCACTCGCACAATTTTCTGTTACAGTTTGCAGGAAAGGATTGTAAGAACACATAGTAGACGGACTTCTGTCTGCAACAGGCTGTTACTTTAGAAAAAGATCTGGCTACCCCATATTTGGCCTTTGTTGTTATTATTAAAAAAATAATACAATAGCTGCATGAACAATACATAATACTAGATACACTTCCCCACACGTACACATATTCTCTTAAAAACAGGAATGCAGTTGGAGTATGTGCAGCTTAATGGTCGCTGCTGCCGTCAGAGGAGACGCTCAGCTCGTCACACCACTTCTTGTAAGCTCTGTGCAGGATCTCGTACGATGTGTTGTTGAAAATTTCTGCAGGAAAAGAAAGAAGAACATGCTTTAGCTGTATTGCATATTACATAAGCTTCAGCTCATACAGTAATTTAACGGCCAAACACAAGCTTCCCGCTCCATTCTTTTTGCAAGGCTAAACAAATGAATTGAGCTAACTGTACTTGTTTTTGACTGAATGACAGTTTTAGGCTCGTTTCTGGTGAGTCTCTTGAGTCTTACCTGCTTGCCCGAGGCCAACAGGCAGAGGCATTCGGACCAGACCGCCAGAATGTTTCAGCCTGTCCTGCAAGGATTTCTGTATGAGCTCCATGGTACACGCCTCGTGCCAGACCGGCAGCTCCAGACCCACCATGCAGCTGATGATCCTTTGCTTCTCCTCCTCAGTCAGTAAACCACTCTCTTGGGACACGTAAACCATGTACGACATATCGATGTTCACTGCTTCGCCGTGCAGCAGAGATGGGAGAACTTCCTGTATGCAACAGAGGAAAAATAAAGTGATGATTAGTGATCTACATAGAATTGAATCCCTGCTGTGTATATGTACAACGGCATGTGTTAACAAAACTGCCATGAGGAGTCCATTACCATCTCTAACGCTGGACTGATAAGGTGGCCGAAGTCCACGAGTCTGTTCAGGTCGTCCTCCCAAAGGTTAGGGGCGAGCTCCTCCAGCATGGTGGTGATGGCTATACGAGTTGCCTGTGATGCAGCCTTGCACCCATACGCACAGTTGTCGGCCTGGAATTTAGTGTCCAGCAGCATGCAGCCGTGGTTCTCTAAAAGCTCAAAGAGGCCTCTGTGCTTCATCAAGGCCATCTGCAAAGAACCAGCAAATAAGGCAATGAAACCTTCAAGGAACACAAAAAAATAACATTCAGAAATCACACTGCATTACCTGACCTACCCAGATATCTAATAGGAGTGTATGTTTTTTTAATAAACTAACTGTCTTTAGCAAAAAAGGGACTTTACAACACCTTCAACATTTCTGCCAGCCCGTTGGAGATGTGTCGCCGAGGAACAGTTTGTACGAACGACAGATCGAGGAAGGCCGCAGCAGGTGGAATGTAGGCTCCCAGCTTGTTTTTGCAGTTTGCAAAGTTAACCCCCGTCTTCGCCCCTACGCTGGCGTCGATGTAGGACAGCAGTGTGGTCGGGACCCTGATGTAAGGGGTGCGCCTCCGGTAGAGTGAGGCAGCCAGGCCCACGATGTCCAGGCACACTCCTCCACCAATGGCGATGATGGGCTCTGTGCGGCGGTCGAGTGAGAAGTTGTTGACTTCATCTAGGATCTTCAGGGCCATTTCCATAGATTTGTTCTCCTCAGTGGTAGGTAGAGCCAAGATCTTGTACAAGACGTTGTTGGCCTCAAAGTATTTGGTTATCTTGGGACCGTAGATTTTGTAGACTTCCTGGTCGGTGACCACAAAGCGTTTGATTGGCTTGTTTGACTTTTTAATGTCCTCCAGCTGCTGCAGGTCGGTGATGTGTCCCAGTAGGAGGGTGTCGTTGCTTGGGTCCAGCAAGCCCTGAGTCTCAGTTACCTTGTAAGTGAAAGTGATGGGGCTGACCACTGTCCAAGTGGTGCCCTTCTCTGTGACGCTCTCATAGCTGTAACACAAGAAACACAATACACTTATTATAGTTTTATGTTCATAGGTAGTTCAGTAACAACATGTCAGTCTTGAGAAAAGGGCACAAATCATGTACATTGTGTAGGCTAACAGACCACTGGGGTTGCATTCAAAGCAGAATAAAAACACTCTGATGGTGAACTGAAGATCAAACGTAATACATGGTCTAAAACTGCACTTAATAAACTGCAGCTGCTTCCAACAGAGAAAGTTGTTTACTGTCATCCTCCGACCTCGCAATGTTGCACAAATGAATGGTTCCTCTATTAGACGGATGCCCCATCTGTGTCTCAAGGACCTCATTTAGCTAGAATATAGTGAATATCTTTCTTTTCTCCAAGCAGGAATGTTATTTTCTGACCACACAAATAGGCCAAGGCACAAAAATATTAACCTCCAAAATGTCAAATGTGGTATTTCTTAACGCTAAGGTTTCTGCCATGAAATGATGAATAAAATGCAGCCCTATTTTTTTTTTTTTTAAAAGAAATAGAGCCAGTTATGTTTCTAACTGCCACGTGACTGAGGACAAAGCACCTCTCTTCATCTTTTAGCATGAGATTGCTCAGACACAAGCTCTTGAAGTCTCACATCTGTTCATCAGAATTAAAAGCTTCTTACATGAAAATGATCCCTTGATGCCTTAAAATGGTTCAAATCATTGCTTCCTTTAAGGTCTTTGAAGGTTCTTTCTCCACCCAACCCCTACTCACTGCAGCTCAAGCACACCAGCTCAGCTGCAGCTCAAACACTGCGAAGCTACTCTGTGCTACAGAGGGTGTTATAATGGAGGAACTCATTGGCACACTGCATGTTAAAGGTGGAAATGCTCAGCCGACGTGTAACTGTAAAATAATAATAATTTAAAAAAAGATTTCCTTCCAGGCATCTTTAAACGAATAGTTTCATGTAGAACAGAACACACCGCGATCACTTGAAGGTATGGAAATCAACCTGACATTCCTACACACCCACATTATTGGTAATCAATACTGTAGCTGCACAAGAATTCCTGCATGTTATCTATTCCCCCTGCGGGCTAGCGGCTTTAAAGTAGCTGCCAAAACATGAAAAAACTTCAGGCTAAATTCCAACGTGTGAAATACCTGAGACACATTCAGCTGTCAGTAACTTTAATGAAGTGTTGTCCCTGAGAAATAACTATTCTTGCCCCCTTTCCTTAACTACTGTTTAATGCCTTGATGATTAGCATTAACCAATATAACCCATGAGTCTTAACCACACAGGTGCTATGAAGGCCACAAAGTTCGGAGTGGTATTAGACATCTTGTTTAGTTCAAATACGGCCCTAAATTCCCAGAATTCTGTTTTAGTTTTAGCTGAGGAATTTTGGTGAGATGCAAAGTGACTGATTCCTTCTGGAAGTTAAAGACCGTATGTGGTGTTTGTTCAAATGCATCCTGCAAAAGGACTCGCTGTTTACAAGGGGCAAACAAGGATGGGAGCTAGAACCTGTTTAAAGTTGAGCTCAGGTCGGACGGTTGGGATTACAAAGCATGTGACAGTTGACGGTAGTTTCTTTAAATCGCGATTGGGACTTTTTTCTCATCTTTTCCAAGTAGGTGCTAAAATTGGAGTCACGCTATGACTGCTTCTTTGTCAGCCCTGGATTATCAAAAGCATGAGAAAGGACTGCAAATTAAATGGAAAAAATCATCAGAAAATCAGTGGAAAATCATTGAGAAGCCATTAAAAAAATAAACAAAAAAAGACTTTTATTTTATGTCACAGTTCGTTTTTTGGATATTTTTCAGTCCCAGTAATTCCTCAGTTTAACTTGAATTTAAGGCCTGTGGCAGTTCATGCAATTAAAATACCAAATGCTAGAGTCAAAATTTATGATGGTTCATACTTCAGAAATCAGGCTAATGTTTGCATGTGTGTTTATGGAAATGTTTGGCTTTTATGCAGCAGTTCACTTCATCTTAACCCTGCCTTCACACTGCATGAAACAGATTGTATTTAAAATGAAACATTTTCTGTCAATTCATGTCGCCTTTTTCAATCACAAGGTTTTGCACCCATGTCACTGCAACACTTGCACTGGCACTGTTGGAATATATAATTTTGTGAAAGCACTGACAGCTTAGTATTGACACTAACACCATTTAATGTGTGTTAATGTATGAGCTGTGCTGATCTGAAGAAAGGGACAGAAGGATTCAAGCACTGGTCCCCAGGCCTTGAGGGACTGAACTCAGGAAGGTTAAGCCAGGTCAGATAGTAGGAATGCAGCTGCTCTCACACACACACACACACACACACACACACACACACGCACAGATAATGTTACCGAGCAGTACCTTGCACTGATAAGCATGTAGTAGGGGGGTGGTATAGTATATAGCAGCTAAATGAAGGAAAAGGGGAGATGTTAGTCGGGAGGATTTTCTTTACAGGATGCTGCCGATTGGATGAATCATGTGCCAATCATGTGCCAAGAGACATGGACGTATCTGTGCACCAATGAAAGGAGAGCTAGGCTTAAGCCACGGTTCCTCCCCAACCGTGTAGCTGTTCATGCTGTACCATTTAGCTTAAACGTCTGTGTTTAGTAGCCAATCACCTTGCACCACACTGAATAAAATGTTTATGTTTACATCAAGCTCCATCCATTGCTGGGGAAGCTGGTTACAGATTACCAGCTTGCTGACTGGGATTTTCTAGATCCTTGATAAAGTAAAATATCCCGATAAATAACGTTAAAGGAGAGAAGTTCTCAAAAAAAACGGACACGCCTCAACACTGGTTATGTTTGTCTATGCAAAATACTACCTGTTAGTGAATAATGTCTGAATGCTGGATGTTAAAGCGATCTCATTTTGCAGCTCCTGTGTGCTGCAGTGCTACCATCAGGCCAATTCTGCAACAGCATAATTTATCTCAATTATTCTTAGAAAACCTTCTGAAAAGAAGAAATTCCATCTTTTGCATCAGTAAACAAAACAAATGTGCAAACAAGGAAAGACAAACAACCATCCATTGTCCTACAAGACTCATGTCACTTGTATAGTTTCTACACAATACTCACATCTTTGCTGCAGAGACACAACCAGCTGTGTCCTTGTTCAACTTCTTTCCCAGTCTGCGCTTCCATGTACTTTTGACCCGAACTAAACTGAACTCACTTGTCTTTTGTTTGACTTTATTATCTTCGTGTTGAGCTTTCCCCATTGTTGCAGTAATGACAGTGAGCTACAGGTGAGAACGGAGCTGGTGACCGTTTCAAATGAAAACCCTGTTGGAAGAGTCTTTAAATAGAGTATAGTATTTAGAGGAGGCCCATGAGACAAGGGAGGAGCAATTTCTCTTCATATGGTTCACATGTCAACGCATGTGTCATAGCCTTACACAATTTTTGTATAACACCTTTTACAATTTTTGTGTAACCACTGAATGAGGACAAGTGGGGGCTGTACTCAGGAGATGGAAAGATCCCATCGGAAAATTACAAGTTCAAAGTGGGAAAAGTATTTGTAATCGGATTTGGACAAGGCGTATTCACGCCTAATTTTTGAATTTCTCTACATGACATATAAGAGATTTATTGACACAGTGGTCCAATACATTTACCTATTTTAAACAATTTAAAATATATATATATATATATTGCTGTTGGGTAAAAGTATTTTTTTTTAGCAACCTCAATATCTGAAGCTGGTATTGGTTTCACCTTATGAATCATTGTGCGTGTGCCAACATGGCAAAATGTGATTCTGGGACACCTGCTGTTCTTGGTTTTTTTAATGTCTGTTTTACAGTTTTTGTCAACACAATAGCATCACACCTGCACAAAATGCAGTCACAAAACTTTACAGATCTGTAGTTGGGATGAAAAGGAAGGTTGACCTTGAAGGAGGGTGTGGTCAGATCAATGAGGAGACCTGAAATCATGTATTGATCGGTGTTGCAGTTAGTTTGACCCCCTCACAATTTTCTTTAAAATCTTTTGTTGTAACCTCTT